TTAATTAAAGCAAAAAATTCTTGGATTACTAATTAAAAAATGTTGGTCAATCGGTCGGTCAAAATCGGTCAAAATCGATCGGTCAGTAACCTTTGACCGACCGATATCAGTCACGGTTATGATCGGTCATGACCAGTCATAACCGTAACCATTAGCATCCCTACTCGGGATAAATCGTAATTTTCGTTAATTCATTAAATTTATTCTTTTGTTTCTTTCTGATTTATTGTTTTATTTTATGATAAATCATTTTTATTTAATTTTTTTAAATTGATTAATTGTTGAATTTGTGGATTAGAAGTGATCGGCTATTATTGAACCTTAAACCTTTAGCAAGGAATAACTAATTTTATAGCAACTTAATTCTTATTGGCTGTAATTCTCTTTTCTATTAAAAGTTTTTAGTTATATTATATTATATAAAATGCTTAAAAGATTTATTAATGACGATTTTAATTATTGATTTATGATAGTTTATAGTTAACCTTGACATAATAATAATGCAACTTTGTTATGATAAAATTGGTAATAGAAAAGAGGGAATAATAAATAAATGAAACAAAAAGTTTAAAAAGTATATAATAATCAGGGCCGAATAATTATATCGTTCACAGTATTGGATATTTGCCACTTCTTGGCAAAATCAAATCAATCGAATAAATGCATTACTGTGAAGTATTTTCTAAATTATTAAATAGGGGATATTGCAAATAAAAAATGTACTCTATCCTATGTTTAAATATATGTTATACAAAACGAAAATATGAACTTTTTAATTACCTATTTAAAATTTATAGTTTTTAGGTAATTTCAACTTTTTAATAATATCTTTTAGCTTTATACTATAATATAGTTATTTTAAAATTAATTTAATAATGTTGAATAATTTTTTCTTCAGGTAATTGGATCTTCTGAATGAACATTTGAAATATTATAACAATTGAGATTATAATGATTAAATTGTAAATTTAATTATAAATAATTAGATCTATCAATTTCTTACATCGCTCTCTATGCCTATAATCGATCTAATTCAATCATAATTTCTAAAATAAACAATTTAGTGTTAGAAAATATTAAGAATCAAATAAAATTTATAAAATTATCACTTACCGTTGCTATAAATAATTTTTATCTTTGTTTGATTTAATTTTTAAAATCTTCTTGATTTTCTAATTAAATTAATAAAAATTATAATGACAAGTTTAGTCATTATTAAAAAACTTAATATTAACGAAATGACTTATTACCATTGTGAAGTTATTTGAATTCCTATTAGATTTGCCAACATTCATATCTGTAAATATTAATATTAGAAAGTTTTAAATTATCAAATAAAATAATTTTAAAACAAAATATCAAAATATATATTCTTACCAATTGATGTAGACACGTTCTGTTCAGTATAATCTTTAGATATTTTTTTTTATTTAGTCAAATTAATTATTAAATTTCTTATGATTAAATATAAACAAGTATTACTTACTATTTGAAATATTAAGACTGTAATGCATGCTATTATAAGCTTATTTTTATAAAAAAAGGAAATATAAAATTAAACTTTAATATTTAAAAAATTTAAATAACAACATTATGCTCTTTTATAAGTTAAAAAAAGAAATAAAAATTAAATCTAATTTAATAATAAACAAACAAATTAAATAAATTACCTTCCGTGGCATTTCTTGGTTCAGGTAAATCCTTAAAAGTATAAAGTGTACTAAATGTTCTGTATATTGAACTATCAGAGTTTAAACTTATATTAGGTTTTGCATTTGATTGTGTATTGTTAAAATTATTGTTTTGTTCATTTTCATTTTGATAATACGATTTTCGTATTTTTTTAATTTTATCATTAAGGTTTTTAATATCGTGTCTCTTTGATGGATCAGCATCCCAACATTGAACCATTAAATTTTTATATTCTGTTGGAGTTCCTTGTACGATTTGTGGTCTCATTCCACGTATTATTTTCATTACAAGCTCATTATCATGGTCAAAATAAGCAAAAGGTGGTTGTCCAGATGAAATCTCCCACATGAGCATCCGATTTAAAAGTATAGCCTTTTCCATTAATAACTTCAGGCGCTATATAAGGAAGGTTTCCATATATACTTTCTAATGGTTTATCAGCAGGTCCACAAAATCCAAAATCACTAATATACCATTGTCCACTATATTCAGAATATAATATATTTCCTGAATGCAAATCTCTATGAATAGAATTTTCTTGATGAAGGCGTAAAACTGCACCAGTTATGTCATTAATTATGTTGATTCTTTGTTTCCATGTAAGTTGGGTATGATTTTGTTGTAAATATTTTCTTAAATCTATTTTGAATAAGCACATCACAAGAAAATGATTTTGATTTTGTGGATCTTGAGTAAGACCATAAGATTGAGCGAAATGTCCCCATTTACTGGATAATATTAATTGAGATTCAACCTATAAATGAGAATTCGTTTGATTTATTTCTTTCTTTCTATTTTTTTTTTTATAAAAAAACAATTATTATTAATACTTTTAAAATTACATACCTCTTCAAACCAACTTCTATTAGCACTTTTGACATTTTTTAATCTTTTAAGTATGACTTCTTGTCTTCCATGTCTTATTAATAATTTTTTGATAGAATTCCATTTGTTATAACTTCCATCAATCCAATCTGCCGTATATATTTCTGAACATCCACCTTTAGTTAAATATTTGATATTTTGCAATTTATCGAATGGGATCCATTCAACTATGCTAAAAGTTTGAATTGTTACCATCTGACATCTCTTTATTAAATTATCAATTTCATTATTTCCCGATGTCCATTCTGAAAATTTTAATTTTAAATAATTTCGAATACAATGTTCGCAATATGTTATTGCTAAACATTCTTGTTTGCAATTTTCACAAACTCTTTTCATTCCTTTATTATAGATAATCTTGTAAAATTCATAACTTCTATTTAATTTTAATATTGCCTCTGATTTTTCTTCGTCTGTGAGAGATTCGTCGGCGTAAATTGTTTGTTGTCTAAATTCATGACGTTTGTCACAGTTAATTTTATAATCGGATAATGCATATGCTCTAGTATATGCATCGTTAACTATTTCCCTACGAATGGAGGACATAATGAATGAAATAAAATTTATTCAAAAAAGAAAGTTTAACGGGAATATAACTCCGTGTTTTATTCCAAATAGAATATGTTCGCTCTGTATAACCTTTGTTCTACGTATGGCAATGTAAAGATCACACGATGAACTGCCAGTAACAACCGGGGATCCTTAACTTGTACCTCGGGTATAGGCTATTATCCTGTACCCCCTTTTCTTAAATATGATTGGCTCAAAAACTGCATCATCAGCCACAAAATTTATTGGATATTTTCATGTAACATTTATCTTGGAAAGTATTTAAATAATTTTCATTTTTCGCACTATACATTAAATATAAAGAAAGATATATTCACACTTTTAAAAATAGAGTGTATAGTATATTAGTGGATTCGATAGGTAAGGTATGATTGATTATGTATAGGTACGATACTAAACATACCAATATGTTAAATAATCACAACAAAAAATCATTAATATTTTAATATTAATCATATGATTGTATGATATAAAATCATACCGTTATGTCAAATGATCACAATGGAAAATCGTAAACCCATCTATTATTAATTACAATTAGTAAATAATGACTTTATGTATATGATGATTTTATTTCACGTTAATATTTTTTCTACCATTTTTTTCATTTAAATTAAGCTTTACTCTTTACATATTATCAATGGAAGTTGATACAGTAACTGATGAACTTGAAATTGAAGCGAAATTACATTAAAAGAACGAAAAATGCAACTCAAACAAAATGAAATTGATCTAAAGTTAAAAGAATTGCAGCTCAAAAAAATGGAACAGGAATTGAATAAATAAAATGGGAATATATTATTGTGAAAATGGTAGCATTATTTAAGGCTTTAAAACATGCAGAATAATAGGAAAATTTTCTAACGATTTCAAGCGCATTTTTTACTTAATTTAGTAAATTAAAATAAATTTCGTTCTATATAAAAAAAAATGAATAAATTCATTTTAAATAAAGAATATATATTTTTTTACTTTTGATTTACTATATATGAATGCCAAGTATAAATATA